TATATATATAGTTTCGTTTAGTGTCAACAAACCGCAGGAAAAAAACAATGACCTGATCAAATATTTAGTTTGGAATGTGGGATCTGGAAATAGCTTATTCTAGTTTATCATACGTGTTTTTTTTTTGCACATTAGTGTCCCCAGATCTGAAGCCTGTCATGGTTTTGATCTTTTGCACAGCGTGTTGTTTACACACAGCACAAGAAACATAGTTCTTCACATCCTTGTACGCTCTTTGCTCTATTTCCAGCTCTCTGACCGTCTCTCCACAGCTGCGACTGATTTCTCACCATCAGCCGCTGCAACTGCCAGCAGAGGACGATCAGAATTCAGGGCAGGATCTTTCCCAGAATTTATAGGACTTCAGGAACTGGGTCTGAGCTTTCAAAAAACAACAGGACAAGATGATAAAAATCTAGAGATAATCTGGCGCAGTTTTATAGATGTTCAAAACATGAATAAAAAGGGAACACAGATTGCCAAGTTGCCAAGGATTTAAAAAAATTGTGGCGGCCTTCTCGAATCAGTCATTTCAAGTGGTTCATTAGATATTTTGCTAACAGACAGACAGCTCATTGGAGCTGATATTAAAAACACAAGTCAACAAGATGTCATTTATTACAATCAGCATAAAATTGCTTGTTGTATTTGACTCTTTTCCAAATACCACTCTGTATGCACATTTAATAACTACTTACTACTAAGAAGAATAGTTCCCATAAACGCATTTTTAAATCCTGTCTTTGTGATTCTTTCTGAGCCAAACAGTTTTAGAAGAAATTCAAGCAAAAGCCCAATTAGTCTGTCCTGTTTTAAAGGCATTAAACATTAGCTGAGTGGCACAGACAGGGGAAGAGTCGGCCCGATCTGGTCCTAATTCTGTTCGGATTTTCCCTTCTCTCCGTCTGGTGCATGGGGAGCAGACCTGAGGCACCGGAGCTCTTCCAGCTCCTCCTCTGATTAGTTCATGGCGTTTCTTTTCTTACTTCACTCACTTGGCTTGAGCAATGCTGACGTGAGCATGTGATGGAAGGACGTGAAGAAAAAGTCCATTTATCATGGAGTTTTGCGTCACTCAGGCTGATTTGCTGCTATATCTGGTGTCCTAATGATAATCTCTGATGTGCTCTGTGTTTGTGTGTGTATGTGTGTCAAGTCTAGTCTTATTGTATACTGTGGGTCCATATGTGTTACAGTAATCAAAGCCATCACCAGTTCCTGTTTGCAGACACATGCATGTGTCCTAATGTCCACCGGTAAACAGGCCAGAGTGAGTTTATTTGGGCTGATGGCACATTGGGGCTGTGTCACATCAGTGTGAAGCAGTCAGGAGCTCACTGTCAATCATCAGCTGGGCAGTCAGGTTAGATCAACATGTTCTGGTTAACAAAGAAACTTTTACCTGTGTAGTTCAATCTGCAGATGGTTGTATAGCAGAAAAGGTAAGGAAATTTGTGTTTGGTAGATTATTTCTTTGTTTTACAATGCTTCTCGGCAGTGGGTGAGACTCAAAAACATGAGTTAATAGCAACAGCACAAAAAGCTGTTTGGCAATGGCAAAGAAGATTTGGCAATTTTTTTTTTCATGTACGCAAGTCACAAACGCATTTTCCTTGGAAATGTGGCACCATTTAAAAGGGAAATTAACAGGCTTTCCAACTGTTTAAGATTCATTGCCAAGAAACATTGTTACAACAGGTTAATAATCTACCAGTTGATTAAATTTTCTGTACCTGCTTGATTCTAGAGTTGTTGACAATCAGCAATCAGTGAGTGAGAGGTGAGGCACACCCTGGACATCAGTTCATTTTCTTTACTTGCTTTTCCTTTCCAGACATACTTGATGAGTCTGTATAATTTTTGATGACTATTGGGATCCCACAAGGCTGCTGCCTCGGTCTCTTATGTTAGAGTCCGTATACATCATATTATGTCTCTAATTAACCCTTAAATTATATTGCGACACTTGCAATCAATGAGGTAAAATGACTTGTAATAAACTACAACTAGAAACAAACAAATTAAAAAAATGCATTTTTCCCAAAACATTTTGGACTAAAGTGACTTGAGTGACTGAAGTTGAATCCTAACCTAAATTTAAAGTTAAAACAATTAAAACAAATGCTAAAAATACCAAAAAAGTTGCAAAAAGCTAAAATTCTTATAACAGTAGCCAATAGCTAACATCTGAAAACCAGTGGCTAAAAGCAAAAAAACAAAACAAAAATAAGCAGTAGCTAAATGCTAAAATTAACAAATCATTCACTAAAAGCATGGAACATGAATGCTAAAGTTGATTTCTAAGAGAACATGTTTTCACTTCATTTTAATTAGGCAAATATGTGAAATATGAATTTTTTTAATGCTAAAGACAGGATGTTAGGAAAATTCCTGTTTTTTTTTACCCGTTTAAAATAGAAAGTGTCCTAAGTGAATACATACCGATTAGGTTTGGAAACACCACAACATATGAACCATAAATTACCAAAGAGAAGTGTGGAAACTTGGAAACTTGTGGTTCACCACTACCTCAGCTACAAGACATCTACACCCACCTGCTGCAGAAGGAAAGCATTATGGATTCTGGACTAACGCCATCCTGCATATGAGCTATTCTCTCACCTTTGTTCAGGGAAGCTCTGATGATGTATCAATGACCAGACCGGACCTCACACCTCAGACAGTTTGTACTCTGCGGACTCAATAACAGTGGCTTTAATGTGCTGTGGATTTAAGAGATTATCACCCGCTGCCATGAAAGGGGACTATAAAGTTTATCTGTTGGTTTTCTTAAAGCACTGAATGAATTCAAAAGGCAAAAATCTTGATTTACTGGTCTGTCTATGTTCCAGCCAACATGCAGCCAGGCTTGGATCATAAGTGAAAGAACAAGATCCTGGATACCAGCAGCCGTAATGAGATAAGATAAGATAAGATAAGATAAGATAAGATAAGATAAGATAAGATAAGATAAAACTTTATTGATCCCACAGTGGGGAAATTTGCACATTACAGCAGCTTGATACAGGAGAGGCTGAGAAGAATAATGAAAGATAAATAAAAAAGATAACAAACAAAAACAACCCCACAATATACACATGTGATATATATAGTAATGTACATATACTGTACCAATGCACATATACACATATACATAAACACATACGCATATTTATATACATATATACACCGTAAAGTACAGTACATAAATGAYTYTATACGAAGGTGCATATTAGTGATGVCAGTGTAGGTGAATTGTCCAAGTGACTGATAACATCATGATGTGTTATACAGTCTAACTGCAGTTGGAATGAATGACCTATGGAAGCGCTCCGTCCTGCACCGAGGATGTTTAAGTCTCTGACTGAAGGAGCTGCTCAGACCCCCCACGGTTTCATGAAGAGGGTGGTGGGGGTTGTCCATGATGGCTGTCAGCTTCGCTAACCTCTTCCTCTCACCCACCACTAACCCAGGCTCCAGAGGACATCCCAGCACAGAGCTTGACCTCCGTATCAGTTTGTCCATCCTGTTCCTGTCCCTTTAAGTACATCCAGCCCCCCAGCAGACCACTTCATAGAAAAGGGCAGATGCTACCACCGTGTCGTAGAATGTCTTTAACAGAGTCCTGCAGACACCGAAGGACCTCAGTCTCCGCAGTAGGTGGAGTCGACTCTGGCCCTTCTTATGCAGGACGTCTGTGTTCGTAGTCCAGTCCAGCTTGTTGTTGAGGTGAACACCCAGGTACTTGTAAGAGTCCACRGTCTCAARGTCTTTTRCCTGGATGTTCACCGGTGCTGTMGGGGGTGACTTCCTCCTGAGGTCTGAGACCATCTCCTTTGTCTTGCTGGCATTGATTTGGAGAGAGCTGGTCTCACACCAGCCAACAAAGTCACCGATGACCCCCCTGTATTCTTCATCATTCCCATCTGATACACATCCAATGATGGTCGTATCATCCGAGAACTTCTGAAGGTGGCAGTGGTCCAAGTTGTACCTGAAGTCTGATGTGTACAGACTGAACAGAAAGGGTGAGAGGACCGTGCCCTGTGGTGCCCCCGTGCTGTAGACTACCACATCAGACACAATAAAGACAATAAAGTGAGGAGCCATGTCATTCAAGGGGAGCTCAGATACTTTTTCTCTTTGAAAGAAGTCAGAAGGAGTTTGGGCACTTATAGGCTGTCTCCTAGACAAGGTTTTCTGGTCATGTCCTACAGGAAAGAGACCCTTGGGCAGACCCAGAACTTGCTGAAGGCATTATACATCCTCTCTGGCCGCTTTGGGATCCACCAGGAGGAGATGGAGACTGCCTCTGTGGAGAGGGATGTCTTGTTTTCTCTCCTGGACCTGCTGCCTAAGCGGTGGAGGAAGATAGAGATGTAAAAATGTGGATGGAGATAAATGGACTTAAATGAAACCCTCAGAAAGGAATCACAATGTACATCTACAACTTATTTAACACTTATAATGTTCAAGATGGCCTACAGAGTTTCTCAACTTCATCTTAAACAAAATAGCTATAATGTCACAATTTTTACCTACTCTGAGCTAAAATATGTTGTGGTAGCTGCGAGTCGTCTCCAAAATATACATAGAGCTTTGAGATTGCATAAATATTGGTTTAGGTGATAGACAACATGAATGCTTCAAGAAAATGTTTATTTTTTAAATTTTCTGTTTATTCCCCTAAATTTTAAGTTTACATGCCAACAATAGGCAGGGCAAGAAGCATTTTGTGTACACACTGCTTAATGCTTACGACAGACAGTTGACTGAACCCTTTTTAGTGTAATCAACGTACAGCAGCAGAATGGAAAGACAAAAAGAAAGCGAAAAGGATGACAGAACCCACAGCAATGGGGGGAAAAACAGATGGAGAGAAGCTTTGCTTGATTGTTTTTTGACTGCAGGACATGAAGTCCTAATTGTTACCTTATCCACCCTCTGCTTTACCTCATCGCTCCTTGTTCCTGGAAGGTTTCCAGGCGAACCAGGTACCTAAAGAGTCTTCTTTCTGTTGCAGCTGACCTAACACACATCACCAGCACATAGCACATCATCTTGGAGCCCTGGGCTGAGCTGATGACACAAAGATTGCCTGTTTGTCACTGATTGGTCTGCCAATCGTAAACACACTCACAAAAATTCCTATTTAGAAAACCTCCCCGCTCTCGTCCATGTGCGTACCAGCTGTCGGGTGACCACTCGTCCCACTCACACACCCCGACCAGAGGGTTCCTGGTCTGAGATCACAGCTGGATCTGCCACAGGAGAGAATTACTTCAAAGAGTGGGGGGGGGCGGCATCTAAAGGGCTTTGATTCTCTGGCTATTTCCAATCAGAGGTAAATTAGCCGCAGAAATAAAACCCAGACTCCTCTCATCTGTCAGGCAGGCTGCACGTCTGTGTAAATCCTTCATCTCACTCTCCATTTAACTGCCATTTCTCAGCCACTCTACACTGTTTGAGTCTGCCATCTTGTGCTAAAAAACGGGGGCAAGAAAATACACACAGTGTTCAGTAGGGGGGGGGGGGTTACTGCTTCAGCTGATTGCTTGGCTGGAAATGAGTTAGCTGGAAAAGAAAAATAGAGGGAAGGGATAGAAGAGACGGACGTTAAATTGCCTTTCCATACAAGGAGAAGTTAGGGGGAGGAAAGGGGAGGAGGGTAACACGAGGAGATACAATGAGAGGGAGGAAGGAGGGAGGGAGAAGTTTTTGGAAGGAGATAAAGGCGGCCCTGCAGAGGGATACAGGTTGATAAGGCTGCTCCAGTTCCAGCAGAGGGGAAACGTGACGGAGCCGGGCCCTCCCTGTCATCGTGCTGCTGCTTCTCTGCCACTTGCAGACTGATCCAACACAGGTAAGACACATACACACACACACACACACACACACACACACACACACACACACACACACACACACTCCCGCCAGCAGCCTGTAGCCCCTCAGATGGACAGAGCTCCACATGGTGCCGCGTAAAAGTCACGCTGATTGGAAACTAATGCGCAAAAGAACGTGACTGTGGAGCAGGTAAGACACACACACACACACACACACACACACACACACACACACACACACNATATTGTAGAGGAACACACACACACACACACACACACACACACACACACACACACACACACCTCATGCACTTGGGGTTTGACTTCTTTTGATCAGATGAAATCCATTCATTTTAGCTTTTTTAATATAAAAAATAAACCAGCATTACTTATCAACGAAAGCTGATAAAGTCTGATAGAGTCAAATAAATACTATAAAAATTAGTTTCTGTGTTTTCCTAAAACACTTCATAAAATATTTCTGGTGAAAATACACAATGTTACAAGCATTAAAATGTTCCAAACTGTACAGCTAGGTTTTAGTGTTAAATTGTAAAAACAAGTGTTTGGCACATCAGAGACACGATAGATCAATGTTTGGTTCGGAGGTCTGGTAACCATGAGGCTACCTGTTGGAGTCCAGATTGCACCAGGTAGAGCACCTGGCATAAAATATTTGCTAAATCTCCAGTTCAAGTTGAGTTTCCCCACAAAGACGAGCAGCAAAAAGGAAAATAACAACTGTGTATTTGGTGCTTTGTCATGAATAAATGTAAAGATCGAAGATCTAAATCTAAAAAGAATTGGTTCAACACAGCAGAAATAATTAGCACAATTTTTCCACTGACAGATAAAAAAAATAAACAACATAAATATAATAATGAAAAACATAAAATACTGAAGTATCTGGGTGAACTATTTCTAGAAGTTTTTTTCCACCCCTGACTGTCTGAAGCAGGAATATTGGGCAAAGATGTCTTTTAAGGAACCTACAGCCACTGATTCACACATATTTGCACTGCAAACAATGTCCAAACATTCAGATCTTGTCTTGAGACTGATATATGTAAACAAGATCAAACTGGGTTAGATTGATAAACTTGTTAGCCTGGAAATTATCTTTATTTCAAGAAGTTTTACCATGTAAATGTCTTACTGCACTGGAAGATTATTTCACTTAATTTGAAWAAAGAAATCAAACTAATCTAGTATTTTTTAGTTTTTTAGATAGCTAATTTTTGCGGTGTGACACTTTTTGTTTTGCCTTTTTAGTCTGATACACTGCAGTACTAAGATAATTACACTCTCTGTCCATCCTGTGGTCTTTCTTTTCTTGCTTAAATACTTAAGGGAAAAAAATGACTTCTCTCTTTACACTGTCCTGATCAAGTGTCAGACTTCCTGTGAGCAGCAGGAGTCTGTGTTTCTTTGTGCCTGAATGCAACGGACATTTGCCCGCTGAGCAGACGTGCATGCAAAAGGATAATTCAGGACAGATGGAGGTATCTTTTTTATATACATATATCACATAAAGTCCTAATTCCACAATTACCCAATGAAAATTTTGAAATGGAAGCAAATTCCTTGCTGAGTGAGTTCTTGTTAAAAAAAAGAGCTAAGTGTGCACAAATCTGCTTCTGTGTGAATACGCCATGTGCATGTGAGCTGAGGTGTTGGTGTTTTCTCTGCATGAAGCTGCTGTAATTGTGCATGAAAAAGTGCCTAAAGGTTTAATGACAGACAAGTTCATCCTCCTATGTTTTCAGAATAAAAAAACAAAAACAATTGTATAAACACGTCTTTGCTGACTGACAGGAGCAGGTCTGTGATGCAGCTGCATGTTGAATTCATGACAAATATGTGTGTATCTGCATGTGTAAATTAAGGAAGGTTTTAAAAAAATCCAATGAGGGTTGTTATTATTAGTGCATTTGCAGGTCTGTGTGTTCTGTGGGAATTTCAGAAATGTTTCTTCAGTGTGTGGTCGTGCCCGACTGTGAGAAGTTCAAAAGGTCAGTCGAAGGCTCAGCCGAAACCAAACTGCAAGTTTAAAGATCAGCAGAACATCACATGTGCCCATATGTCACGACTTATCTCAAACAGATCTTATGAAATATGAAAATTTTCAACTTCAACCGAGTCATTCTGGACACGACAAATCCAACAAAATTTTCAATGAAGTGACTGAATTTCTTTAAAGGTGTGGCGTTCTAAATGGCAGTAATCTGCTCTATTTACGCAAACTGAACTCTCACCCTCCTGTGCTCATCTTGGTCCACTTGCATGAAGCTGGTATGAGGGACACCAACAGGTGAACAGTCTTTTGTAACGCAAAGACATTCATGTTTTATGCTCCACTCTTTTCTGTATTTTGTATGCTCCACACCTTGTTTCCTGTTTTTGGTGTGTTTTTATGGCAGCGTTACATTGCCACCTACAGGCCTGGCATGGTCACAAAAGCATTTTGGGTTGTTTTTGGTGTTTCTGTGTGGCTGAAGACATTTCTATAGGCCTGGGATAGTCAATCCTGGTCCTCGAAGGCTGCAGCCCTGCACGTTTTACTTGTTTTTCTGCTCCAACACACCTGATTTGAATGAATAGATGATTTTCAGGCTTCTGCAGAACTTGGAAGAGGTAATTCACTGACTGAACCAGGTGTGTTAGAGAAGGGAAAAAAGTAAAACATGTCAGGCTGTGGCCCTCGAGGACCAGGATTGACTATCGCTGCTTTAAGCAATGTTGCATTTTGGAAAGATTGTGTTTATGTGAGGACAAAGTCTTAAGCAATATTTTCATTTGCTTTTTGTAAAAACAACATCATAAACACAGAACCATTTCTATACTGTAAATATCTTCATTCATACGGAAACACCAAAAACAACCCAAAAAGCTGTAGTGACCATGCCAGGCCCATAGGTGGCAAAGTAATGCTACCATGAAAATACAGCAAAAACAGGAAACAATGCGTGAAACATACATATAAAGCAAGGAGCAAAATGTAAATACAAGAATATTAGTCTATGATGRCATCATTTATTTATAAGACTATGTTTTGGTTGTCTACATGAAAACACAAAGGTGGTATTTCAAGATTAATTCAAACCTGTTTTATTTTTTGAACACAGAGGCTGCTAAAATACTTTCTGTGTCATGGCTGTAAATGTAAAAAAATTGCATTTTCACAAAACTTCTTTCGATGAAAGTGACTGGGGATRAGATTTAAAGCGGTGTTGGAGTTCAAGTTCCCAGCAGGTGAAACCAAACCATTTGTCACATGAATTCCCTCATTCTTCATAAACTATCTAGCTTCCTTTTTGAAAATAGGAATATTATTGTCATCGAATCAAAACGGGAGGAAGAGCGATTTGCACATGAGTTCAGCTGGCATAACCCAAACAAAAAAGGCAGTTTTAAATTTTTTGAACTCAGTGTTTTGTTGTTTTTTTTTTTTTCCTTTGGATTGAGAAAAACTTTCGAATGAAAAGGAAAATGTCTTAAATAAGTTCAGTTGTTTTTGTCTGAAAACTCTTAGAGAGATCTTCCCAAAGGACTATCCCATCTGCCCATTGTCTTCATTTGCTTTTTCTATCCAGGTMGCAGGGGAACTGCACTCATGTCATGATTTTTTTAATTTTTWATTTTAATCTCACYTCCCATWTAGCAGCTTTATCATGCTACAMAAATACAGCACAATAAAAYTTTCTTGTTGGAATTAGTCGTACACGTTAGTATCCAAACCAGGATCAGCCTTGTGCCGAGCGACAGATTTGGTGACAGAACACTTGGATGAAAGCTGGGGCCCGTGTGGCTCCACGATCAAGGTCTTTTTTTGGACGTCTGTTAAACTGTGGTCAATAAACATTTAATGGAGGCAGGGAATTGATAAAACACTCGGKAGCACTGCAGCTGCAGTGAGAAAAGTGTCAGAGTTGGAGTTTTTGCAGCAATGTTGGCCGAGTAATTCAATCTGACCCCTGGAAATAGACTTCGGGGGGACAATATGCAGCAGGTCATGGGTGTTGTGGGTGTTGACGGTGAAGGAGTGTGTGTTTGTGCGCRGGGGTCGACTCACCCAAATTTAACTGTCTGCATTCTCCACCTGCTTGGCGTTTCAGCTGCAGCACAGAAATGCATGGAAACAACCCTCTTCAGTGGAACGTRCAAACAACACAGGTTTAATGAAACTGATGACATATAGACACTGTCTTTCTTTTTTTTTTTACACTAAATGCTCAAGTAAAGTGTATTTATTATTATTATTATTTTTGTACCTTACTGGTGCCTCCATGCAGCTTTGAAAGCCCATGTCTGGGGTAAATTTAGAGTTGAATATTTTGTGGGTGCACATCAAGTCAAGGTAGTTGTGACATTTTAATTGTGTCGCACCCTGAATCAGACAGATTTGACTAGAAAAAGTGCAAAAAGAAATGAAAACATACAGTATATGCCCCCCCCCCCCKATTATTCTATGGTTTAATTGAAAGTCAACAAGGTTTGTCATCCACGTGCCCTCCCCTCCCTCAGCTCTCTGCCTCTAATTAGAGCGTGAATCTGACTCAGCCAARGCTGGACAGTAGATGGTCCGTCGGTGACATCAGACAGAGTTTACGTACTTTTTCAGAGATGTCATATGTGTCGTTTTATTTCAGGGACAGGCATTCCCGATGAATATTAACAGTTGACCTGCAGCCAGACACTGCAGGGCTCTGGGTCAACACACACTCCTCTGTACCCAAAGGAGTGGCCGAACGCTCGAGGGGTCAGTGGGTTCAGTCAGCTTTGTTCTTAGATAAAATGGTTTTGATGTGAGGAGACAGGAATGTGGAATTTTCCCGCTTTTCCTCTTATTTTCTAGAGTTATCCAGGGTTTGGCTTCCTATGCGTTCAACCTAAGATCCTTTGAGTACAAGTGCCAAGTTCATGAGCACAAAAGTACTCGTGAGGCACCTATCGATTTCAAAATGTGCCACCCACTTTACAACATAAAAACTCAGCGGTAAGGGGTTAGATTTTTCATAGCAATGGTAATCAGTGTGTTTGTTCAGAAAGCCTAGCCGTGCGATGGCCTCGCTCCAATTCCTCCGTGCGAGAGGAATAACACAATTTTTCATCTGTCACTTCCCTTTCAGATGATGTCATCAAAGCACCTGACCTGCGGCTGGCTGCAGAAGCTGCTCGTTGTGCTCATGAAGTTCTGTCTCGCCTTTGCTGGGCCGTTGCGGACGTTCAACGGGACACACTGCACGGCCAAGACTCCCGCATCCTACATCCTGGTCTTTACAGGTCACTGGAGCCCACAGGCCTTTCCAAAGCAGTATCCTCTGTTTCGACCCCCTGCACAGTGGTCCAAACTGATTGGTGAGAGAAACTGACAGAAKCACAAGATAGAACACCTGAAGTTTTGTTTTTCTTACATCATTTAGCAAGTGAAGTAGAAGGGCTTATAATGACAGAAACCAAACTGCTGCTTCACCCAACATTTGATGTCATGTGTCAGATATTTAGAGCGTATTCATCGTACACAAAGCAAACAGAAAAAAGGCAGAAAGAAACAAAAAAAAAGTACTGCCTAAATGCTACCAGATGGCATTTGTCTTTGTTTCTCTAACTGCTGTCCAGCCACATCTTTAATATTTGTCTGTCTTCAACTCAGTCGTACACTCTATCCCACATTTCCGCTGGTTTACCACAATGTTGGCAGTAAAAACCCCATACTGGTGGTTTTGGGGGCTGGTGAAGGTGGGTGATGATAGTTGAGGTGTACTGGTTGAGACCACTTACCTCAGACCTATTTATTGAAAAAAAAAAAGGTTTCTTTTTCTCCTTCTCTTATTGTCTTCTTATAGTTTTTACCAAATAACAGAGCCTGGATAGATGGCAGATGTTAAGAAAAGGGTATATAGAAATGTTAGGGTTGTGGTGTTGTCTGGTTTCCAGCTGTCCCAGTGGTGCCCTCTTGCCCCGAAGGAGGCGGATGCCCTACTTACTCCAAACTGAGACAGGCACCAGCAGTTCTGACACATCTGTAATTATTTCCACTGGCATGGCAAGAGACAGTCTTTGTCTCAAGGGAATAAAAGCATGAGTCAGTGGGCTGACAGTGTACTGTAGGGGACAAAAAGCAGCCTGGAGATGGATTTTGACACAATAAAGATGTCAAAGACTTTTGTGGTGCATTTCACAGGTTTGTCTTGCTTTACTGTAAATACCAGCGAGGGTATATGGAGTTTGTCTGGGGCCAGAAAAATACACAAGCAACTTTAGAAAGAGTTGACTTTGAAGTCTTGGTGGGGCCTAAAACGTGAGGTGCTATCGAGTTTCAAGGTTGTGATACTAGTGGGAAATTTGTCAAGATGGGAATGTAATTAGGCACACAAGCAATGGCTGTTTGGAGAGAAACAAGATAGTGTGTGAAGTGTGCTGGACAGGTTGTATGCGTGTGGCTAAAGTGCGTGCGTTCACACACATGTCAGGACTATTTAGGGTCAAATGCATGGTTGTGTGAGCGAGTCTTAACGCAGCTCTGAGAAGTGAGGTAAGGCAGAACCATCAGAGCATTTGTCAGRGTGTCTCTGGCTAACCTTACTATGCCCCTAAAACCACTGGCCCAGACCAGTGACTTTGTGGGTTTTAACATGGAGCTCCACAACCTGGGCTTCAAATCTAAAGCTTGCTCTTTAATTTTTTACAGATATCATTGATAGCCAGAAATACAGAAAAAAAGCACCAATAAGGATTTTCGAAATAAAGTAATTTGTTGCCATCTGTCTGCCTGCCAATTGCAGAATCCTGGCCGACGTCCAGGCAGCTCAAATCTGTGTTGTGGTTTCAGCACTGATGGATAGAYAATAAACTCTTACAATAATACATACAATTCTTTCAGAATGATCAATTTAAGTACAGGAAGTAGAAGGTAGTTGCAGAAATACACGCAGGCTCCATGGTGGAAATGATCTCACTGTCTGGCCAAGGCTCTGTGGTACTTCACTGACGTTGATGTGGATTCTAGAGAATAAAGCATCTRACTTCCCGTGTCTCCTCTTTCTTTGTTTTCTTCTCTTTTCTTTTAGCGGTCACCCATAATCACCATTTTAGGCTGTGGGAGGAGGGTGTTTCAGCCAGTCCAGGGGTGCAGAGCTTTGCTGAACTTGGGGTGACAGTGGAGCTGATGAAGGCGGCCAAGGAGGCGAGGAAAAAACGCTCTGTTGGAGCCATGTACCGAACGGCTGGTATTCCCCATGGTYTTGGGCACAGCTCCACCGAGATGGTCGTCCAGCCCCGGAACCCACTGGTATGAACAAGTGAAATTCAACAAAAAAAWTTATATTRGTTTGTGAAAAAACAAACAAACTACGTGCTCAGACGCAGCAAGTCTCAAAAACCATCTGTTTGAAGGTGCCCATCATAACAACATAAATTCACTCCAACCGCAGATTTAACCACGTCTTTCCACTATGTCCAGTCAGACTATGTTTACCTGAAGTACTTGAACTCAGCAGCCACAAATGCTGACGTAATCCTMCACAGTCTGGTCTCCGTTTGCTGTTTGTCTCACTGAATTCATGTGAGCTGTGAGGCGAGTTACTTTATGTACGGTAAATATAAAGCTAGCAGCCAGCTAGCTAAAGAAATCAGACAAATACATCCTGATCCTGAAGAAAATTAAGTAGACCCACCATTGTTATCCATCCATTTTTAACCTATTTTGAAGTATTGGTGGGTTGAGCCTGTCTGTTTGGAAGAACCCCAAAGATGTCATCCTCCAAGGACACTAGCTCTCTAGTACCTATGCTCCCCAGTCCCTATGCTCTCTAGTATATGTTCCCTACCTATGTTCCCCAGTATTTTTGCTCCCCATCTCTTATGCTGTCTAGTATGCTCTCTTGTACCTATGTTCTCTTGTACATATGATCCCCAGTACACGTGTTGTCTAGTATCTATACTCCCCAGTACATATGTTCTCAAGTACCTTTGTTCCCAAGTATCTATGCTCCTCAGTACCTATGTTCCCTAGTACCTATGCTCCCCAGTATTTATACTCCCCAGTAAGCTGTATCAGAATCAGAATCAGCTTTATTGGCCAAGTATGTTGACACACACAAGGAATTTGTTTCCAGCAGATGTTGTCYTCTCTCCGATACACATAAATACAATATACACTATTCACAGTGGTGGAAGCACAATAGCCAAAGATATAAACATTATATTCTGTGGATTATATACAATAATATATACATTAGGCACTAGTTAATATGTCTAGTGTTTAGCGTTGTTCGTTAGGGAGATGGCCTGGGGGAAGAAGCTGTTTTTGTGTCTGGATGTTTTTGAGCATGAGGCTCTATGGCGCCTGCCGGAGGGGAGAAGTTGAAAGAGGCTATGTCCTGGGTGTGTGGAAGTCTGACATGATTTTCTCTGCTTGTTTCCTGGTTCTTGTGGTGTACAGGTCCTGAAGCGTGGGCAGGGGAGCACCAACGGCTCTCTCAGCTCTTCTGATTGTTAGTTGTAGTCTGTTTTTGTCCTGCTGGGTGGCTGCTCCGAARCAGACTGTGATCGATGTGCACAGGACAGATTCTYTGACCGCTCTGTWGAACTGGATCAACAGCTCCTGTGGSAGACCCAGCTRCCTTAGTTTCCGCAGGAAGTAGATCCTRTGTTGGGCCTTCTTGAGGATGGAGTTGATGTTGGTCTCCCATTTCAGGTCTTGGGATGTGATGGTTCCCAGAAACTTAAAGTTTTCCACATTGGACACCAGGTTGCCAGTTATTGTCAGAGGGAGTCATTCTGGGGGGTGTTTCCTGAAGTCTACTGCGTCTCCACTGTTTTGTGTGTGTTTAGCTCCAAATTGTGTTCCTTACACCAGAGCACCAGCTGTTCAACCTCCGTCTGGTATGCAGACTCATCCCCGTCCTTGATGAGACCAATGACTGCGGTGTCGTCTGCATAATTCAGTATTTTAACAGAAGGCTCGCTGGAGGTGCGGTCGTTGGTGTAGAGAGAGGAGAGCAGCGGTGACAGTACACATCCTTGAGGGGCTCCTGTGCCGACTGTGCGGTTACTGGAGGTCACCTCCCCCTGTTCGCTGCCTGTCAGAAAGCTGGTGATCCACTGACAGATGGCAGGAGACACAGTAAGCTTGGAGAGTTTGGTGGAGAAGGTTCCTGGGATGATGGTGTTGAACGCGGAGCTGAAATCTATGAACAGGATCCTTACATAAGTTCCTGGGTGGCCAAGATGTTGCAGGATGTAGTGCAGTCCCATGTTGACTGCATCGTCCACTGACTTGTTTGCCCTGTAGGCAAACTGCAAGAATAATATCTATGCTCTCTTGTACCTGCTTGTACCTATGCTCCCCAGTACCTACTATATGTTCCCTAGTACCTATGCTTCCTAGTTCTTATGCTCTCTAGGACCTATGCTCTCTTATACCTATACTCCCCAGTACCTATGTTCTCTAGTACCTATGTTCTCTAGTACCTATGTTCCCTAGTTCTGTGCTCCCCAGTACCTTTGCTCTCCAGTATACCCATGCACCCCAGTATCTGTGTTCTCCAGTACATATGTTCCCTAGTACTTATGTTCCCCAGTTCCCTATGTTCACAGGTACTTCTATTCCTAAATTCCCCAGTATCTATGTTCCCTGATAKGTTTTCTCTAGTACCAAGTTCCCAAGTACCTATATTTATCTTATCTGAATACCAGAAGTATGTAAAGTACTGGAAAGAAATAACTAAGTAAAAGCAACAATACCTTAAGAGAAAATGACTTTACCAAACCAAACTGGTTCGTCTACACAGAATTGAATAAACTGCTCAATTTGCMCAACTCAGTTTTTTATTATTCACCATTATTTATTTACCGTTATTTAACCAGGCAAGTRCTGTTGAGATCGTGGAGTTAGTGGAACCTGTTGACATAACTGAAATAAATTCAAAACTTCATTTTTTACATGCAAAAACTACTTTCATGATGAGTTCTGGTCTTCTTTAAATTTCTAACTATATGTGTTAAATTTTAAGGTAAAGAA